TGTAATTTGTATTTAATGACATTTCTTCTGAACTCAGATAAGTAGGTTAATTATTATCATGTTTCCTAACTGAAGTTAGAATTAGCATGTTTTATAATTAAAGGACTCGCTAATAGAAAATGGAAATATTAAATTGCCTTTTCCAGATGGTTTGACATTAAAGAAAGGGGGGGGGGAATGCCAACTAGTTCTAGGAATTACTGTTCCCAAAATTATGTGATGCTAGCAACAATAGTGCATCATAAGAATACAGATGAGTTCAAAAGCTACCAATGCTGTTTCATTCCTCTGTCAGTTGAGGTTAGATAAATCAGTTCAATGGATCTAATGCTTTAACATTTTTATTTTATTGCTTTTACATTCAAAAATGACAAAAACAACGAAGCATACAACAAAGAACATAACATTATGTATTAAATATAGAAAATAATTCAGGCCAATTTTAGACTCATCATAACATTCAGTGGGGGTTGCCAATTTTTTTACTACTGGTTTGGGCGCGTGCGCAGAAGCAGCTGGGTGGCTGGCCGGAGCCTCCCATCACAGCTACTACCAGTTTGCCCGATCCGGGGCAAACCAGGAAAAACCCACCTCTGATTACACTTTCACTACACAATCTTCTTTCTCTTACAGTAATAAATAATTCATAAAGAGAATATGGGCACATGTTACTCCAAGAAATCTGTTGCCTTTCCAAACTGCAAGATAGTCCTTGACATACAACTGAAATGGAGTCTGCCTATTATTGGTGATACGTTGTGACAATTATAAAATATCACAAATTTTAATTCTAAAGTTTTGGAAAGTACCGTATTTTTGGAAGTATAAGATGCACCTTTTTCCCTCAAAAAAGAGGCTGAAAATCTGAGTGCGTCTTATACACTGAATACAGCACTTTTGTCTCCTGAAACTCCGCCCCTTCACCAAAATGGCCGTGCATAGCTTGTAGGAGGCTTTCAGAAAGCTTCTGGGGGATGGGGAGGGCAGAAATGAGCAAAAAATGGGCCATTTTTGCTCATTCCCCCTTCTCCCAGAACACTCTACAAGCCTCCTAAGGGCTATTCCTGCCCTTTAAAAAAAACTGGCTCATTTTTGCGAAAAATGGACTGTTTTTTGGAGGTTTGCAGACTGCAAAAACTTTTTTTTTAATTTGTCTCTTCAAAACCTTGGTGCATCTTATACTCTGAAAAATACGGTAACTAATATCCATCTATTATGGTATCTGGATTTGGCCTTAGGAGATTGGGCCCAGAGACACTATCTAAGGAAGGGTTAGATAAGAGACAGCATAGTCCACAGCTGGATAATGAGTAGACAAGAAAAGCCCTGATGGTGCAGTGATTAGAATCAGGTATTGCAGGCTGCCAGGAGTTCAATCTTGGCCAGCTCAAGGTTGACTCCGCATTCCATCCTTCTGAGATGCGTTAAATAAGGACCCAGATTGTTGAAGGCAATAGGCTGACTCTGTGAACTGCTTATAGAGGACTGAAAAGCATTATGAAGTGATATAAAAGTCTAAGTGCTATTGCTTTTGCAATCAAAAGAGACCTCCTTAAAAGAAAGACAAGGAGAGAGATAGCAAATTGTGTATTCATACTTACAAGATTCTGTTAATATAGCCTTATAATGAAATAGCATTAGTCTATCAGATCATGTTTTCTCAGCAGTATTCTTAAACTGTTTCTAAAAGAAATATTGCCAATTTAAATAATCCAAAACACATTGCCATGCCGTAATAATTAATGAGCTTTAGATGCTATTAAGGAATCTGGTCCAAATTATGCAATTCAAAGATGTTTTAATTCTATATGCTGCCATTTCACAATTATAGGCAATCCAAATTCATCTTGCAATAATTCAAATAGTTTAATAATTTGATTGGCAAAAGCTGGTTCAAAGTACCATATCTGTAATGTCCAATAAAAAAACAAATGCCCTCCTGTAATTTTCAAACTCTTGTCCTAAAATATATATACCATCAATAGTGGGTTTTATTTTTTTCAGGGTCATAGCATTCTGTAGAGAACTCAAAATTATATATGTATGTATGTATGTATGTATGTATGTATGTATGTATGTATGTATGTATGTATATACACATACATACACACACACACACACACACCCATGTTAATATTGAAAGTCAAATTAAAATTTCCACAATCATCTGATGGCCATAATTTAATGTAAAATTCAGCTGGTTGTTCTTCCATTAGAAAAACATGTTGATATCTTAAACTTTTAAAAATAAAAGTATTTTTTTAAAGTTTAATTGGATTTTCATTTTTAAATATACCTCAATATCAATACATGAACTGTGTGGCCTCTGGGTATAATTCATGTTGATACAAATAGCAATAATGGCAATATTTGTTACATTAATAAAAGTTATTAATATACATATTTGTTTTAGAGTAATTATTCAATATTTCAATGTTCCATTTTAAAGCCAATAATATTATTAAGTGTACCATCATTCAACCTCTAATCTTTCCACCTAGATATTACTTATATTCTATTATATAAAAATTATATCTACTAATATGCCCCCTATTTCTTATTTCTACCTCTATTCTAGCTTCTAATCAGGCCACAATTACAAATCTTAGTGTTTGTACACATGTTTATATTAAGAAATAGTCCTTCATTATTTGGTTGTTTAAGATCACAATACACCATTCAAGTACCAATTATCCTATTATTTAAACCTACCTAGTAGTACCATCTTTCCATCTTTCCGCCTAACTATTGCTTTATATAAAGGTCTGCATTCTTATTTCTACCTCTATTCTAGTTTTTAATCAG